GGATTAGGCAGAAAATCGCAAGGCATGTCCCTCGACGGGACTGATCTTGGCTGAATGTCTCCGTTTTTGACGGTCTTAGCGAAGCATTTTTATTTCTTACTTGAACACTATAATTCTTCAATATTTAAAGTTTGATACTCTTGTTTGGTGATGGAAAGCAGAAGGTTAATATTACATTATTGTTAAAATAGGCCGAATGTTGATAATTTATGCTTAAATTTTTAGTTGAAACACCGCTTTAGTGATGTACTATAAAAAGCTCAAAATTTCATTGTTGGACCTTAGAAGTGTTGAAGAAGAAAAAATGAATCTTTTTGAATTGGTGTTATTTGACTAAATTAGTAATTAAGGATTGTTTGTGTTTGTATTTAGAAGCTTTATTTTAAACTTAGATCATCTGGAGCAAATTTGAGATGGTTTGATCAAAAGTAAAGTTAACACGGAAAAATTATGTCAATCCTGTAGGCTTCAATGAACAACTTAATAGATAGGTGTAGCATAAACTCTATCAATTCGGTAGAGAAATTCATGAAGAGCAAAATCATATCATCCGATAGACTTTGACGAGCAATTTAACAGATAGGTAGAATAAATATAACATAAACTCTACCAATCTGGTAGTGGCTATATTTTAAATAGAACATCTGGCTAAGACCTGTCAAAATAGCACGGGCTAGCCAGTTTTCGGACTGGTCATTCAAAAATAACTAGCATTTGCCAAGTCATTGAAAAATAGCTATTATTTTGCTGCAACAGAGACCGGTCCAGTATAATATACTGGAACGCTGAAGTATTTTCCGGATTCTGAACAGTGTTTTCGTTCAAATTTATCTTTACATGAAAAGTGACTAAATTTCGATGATTTTTGAAACTGTGGCTGTTTTTCAATAACCACTTATAAATCTGGCTATTTTTGAATTTCTCCCCTGAGACCACCCCCTTGCAGGGGCCATTCCTATCAATCACCCTGGATTAGGCGTTATGAATATAACAAAAATTAGCTTGAATGATCATTTGTTAGACCGTTTAATATTTAACCATTGTTTGAAATGTAACTAAAAAGTAACTACTTTTTAAGGCCGAAATAAAATTTGAGATAAAAGTATACCTAGTTCAGTTATGAGGGTATTTTTGTCCAAGTTTATATTTACGTTAAAAAGCTACTAAACATTAAACAGTAGGGCTGCTTATCGGGCGGATTGGACGGTTATTTACACTTAACGGTTTGGTTTATCGGTTATCGGCTTTTAAATGTATTAATCCGCTAGCCACCCGATAAGATATCGGGCGGACTGGTATCGATTTAGCTCTTATCGGGCGGTTTATCGACCTAATTCAATCTACATGACGTAATTTACCAAATTTAGCTATTATCTTTCTGCATCAACGCATTCTTTCCTTTCTTTGCAATTACTTGAACTCGCTCCAAGTCATACACCACTTTTGACTGTCTTAAGGAGTTCCATTTTCTCTCAGGCACATCTATTGTGTGGATGTCGTTGCAGTGGAATGCACACCAATAGATTAAAACTAAGAGTCCATAAAAGTGAATCAATAGCAGTGGTTTGCAGCAGATTTTTAGGACGTTATCCCTTTTGGCCTACGCCTTTGCTGTTGCGATTTAAGTCTCAGAGTTTCAGTTGGGTGAGCTGTGGAAGAATCTTTTTCTCAATGTAATGTCTCGATGCTTTCCTTCTGATTGGCTTTTGTAGCAATGCAAAGGATTTCGTGTGTCTCAGACTTGGTCTACGGATTTTTTCAAATATTTTCCAAAACATGTAATGGCATAAAAAAAATTTACTACTATTATTACATGGTCAATCCTTAACGGGTTAACGGATTATCTATTAAGAAAATTAAATAATCCGTCCCCAAACTGATAAGCCATTAATAAAAAAAATTCAATCCGTTCCCCGTCCGTTAAATCGTTAGCCCGATATCAATAAGCCATTAAGCTTCGGTTTCGATTCGGTTTTCGGTTTCGGTTCGATTTTGAACAGTGGTTAAATATTAACTAGCGGTCTGAAAAGTGGCTATTTGCGTATTTCTTCCGTGGATATATCACATTCAGGCCCAAATTTTTGGACCCAAACCAATTCTTATTTTTCTACCAAGCCTAATTGTAGCTTCGCCCGTCTATTTCGGCCAGTCGACGCCGCAGTCCGCCGGCAGTGAACTTTGCTCTCTATTCTCCCAATTTCTCACCGTGGCGAACTCTTTCTCCGGACAATTTGAGTCGTAAGTCCCCTCATTTATCTCTCTCCTGAAATGCGACCTTTTGAATTGGATCTCTGTTCTACTTGAAAAACCTCAAGCTTCAATATTTTTTTACTTCTGTGTGAATACTTACTAAGTTACAGTAAATATAGTAATTTTATTAGTTGCTTCCTATGTTTAGCGACTTACAAAAATAGAGTTGAGGTTGAACTCATAGTCCTGCAGCTCGGTTGATCTTTCCATTTAATTTAATGTCCAGGTTTTTTAACCTTGTTTTGGAGTAAGCATACGAGATTAATTGGTTGGGCTTACACGTATTGACAGAAGAAAGAAACATTCTGATTGGTTTCTTAGAAATGTAAATCCAAATAGAGAACAATGAATCTTAGGTTCAAATTGCCGCGGAGGAAAAAACACTAAGCGATTTCTTCCCGTTTGCCTAAACTTTTGTGAGTAGAGTTACTCGGTACCTGCATTGGTGGGAGATAGCAGGTATCGGTGGACTTGACAAGGTGCCCATAAGTTGGCCTGGACACCACCATAAAAAAAAATAGAGAAGTATGGATATAGAGGACTCATATACTCAGATCCAACTAGTTTGGGATTGACGGACAAGTTTTTTTTTTTTTTTTTTTTTTTTTTTTAAAATATAATGAAATTTGACAGGTTGAAATAAGAATATTAGCTATTTGCTTTTGTTGTTTAGGTAGAAGTTTGTCTGCCAAGGACTATAATGCTTCCATTAGAAAGTAAAAAGGATGTAAAAGTTTAATTGGAAATGAATTCTTTGAGATGCATTCTTTTAGATGTACTGAGAGCAGATTGTCTCTTTAGTGTCAGTTTTGTACATTCTTTGTCCTAGTAGTTCTAGAAAATTAAATGTAACGTAATCCTTATTGTTGAAGATGTCAATTGGCCTGTTACCCATCTCTGGTGTGTCTAGAACATACTAACAATTGAGTCAATCTAAAGTCATACTGTCACCTAGATTTTGGTTATATCACTGCAGACTTCATTACTACTTATAATTCTTAGAGTAGAAGTTTTATTAATGACCTTCATAAACTAAATCGATGACCCAAAAAAATTAGTTTCAGAGTAATTACTGCGTGCATGTATTCTTAGATGGGTGCATATGGTCATTGATTGGCTCAAGGCCGAAAAATTGTTGTTGTAGCCTTCTCTTTTTTACCAAGATGACGAACTATTTTTTTCGTTTCTATTAGATTAGCTGAATGTTTATTTTTCTTTTCATGGTAAGGGTGTAAAATACAAGCTTAACCAAGTGGTTGAAGTCCAAATTGTCCAACGACAGACAGTTCTTCTGCATTACCAGAACACGCGTATGAAATTGTGATCAAGCTAGCATCATCTGCAATTCATTGCTTGCAGAGTGACATCTTAAGCATGAAGCTCATTGCACGGTTAAGACCCATCCATGCCTGTACATCTCTTCGTGAAATTATAGGTCCTCTGCAATCTCGTTCGTTTCAACCTGATTTTGTTCCCCGAGATCCCAACGCCAAGCCCAAAAGATACAAATATCCTGCTGTCTATGAACCATATGGCCCTAGACCCCCACCATCAGACAAGATAGTTCAGCTTGCTGAACGTATTGCTGCTTTACCCCCAGAAGAGCGTAGACAAATTGGTCCTACACTCAGGGAGATACTAAGGCATCCTAATTTGAAACAAATATCTGTAGAAGGCATGGATTTGGGTGCAATGGGAGGAGCAGGTGGTGGACCGGCAAAGGCCGAGGAGAAGAAGGCAGAGAAAACAGCATTTGATGTCAAGTTGGAGAAATTTGATGCAGCTGCAAAAATCAAGGTGATCAAAGAGGTTCGATCCTTCACCAGTCTAGGTTTGAAGGAAGCCAAGGACTTGGTCGAAAAGGTGC